TCTCAAAGGTGCTACAAGATCTCTCTACATACTGATTCTAGACTAACACAGCTATATCTTTGAATCAACAGCTTAGGTCTGTGGTTTCCTTGATAGAGTCTATCCAGATGTAATGGGGTTTTCCTCTTTTCCTGCTGCCTTCTTCCTTTTCTAGTCTTTTCTAGTGAGTCATGTCTGATGTCATCTCAAGATATGGCCCAAAGTACAACAGTCTTAGTTTAATCATCTTGCCTTCTAGGGAAAGTTCACACTTGATTTGTTCTAGGAGACATTTATTTGTATTTTTGGAAGTCCACAGTATCCTCAGAACCCTTCTCTATCACTTTTCAAATGAGTTGATTTTTTCCTAACAGCTTAGTTGCCTGTCCACCTTTCATAACTATACACAGAATTGGGAAATATGATGGCATGGGCAATTGCAAGCTTAGTATTCAATGACACATCTTTATATTTCAAGATCTTATCTAGTTTTTTCATAGTTTTCTTTTGATTTCTGACTGCAGTCTCCATTTTGATTACTATTGTGAGCCAATCTTGAACTACTATATTTCAATGTCTTCATCATCTACTTTAAAGTTATGTAAATCAGCTGTGGTCATTTTTTTGTTTGTTTGTTTGTTTTCTTAATGTTCAGATGCAAACTTGTTCTTCTGGCTCCCAGTCAATTAGGCTTAATAATGCAAATCTATTTTTCACATTATCTTTCAGTTCTATGGGGATGTTTTTCATGTTGTGTTTTGGCATGATAGTTGGTTAAATGCTCTTTAGTGTTAGCTTTATTATCATTTTTAATGTTAGTAGTTTATAGTCTGTGTCTCATCTCACCTTGCTAAAATCTTTCCTCCCAGTGCCTAGAAAAAGGTAATTTTGGGGGCCACAACTCCTAAAAGTCTCGTGGAAGTTGGGATCCAAAAAAGTAACTATTCCTAACCTATTCCTCAACCCTGAAATCTAAAATGATACCTTGGAGGGAAGATTAATTTTCATTTAAAAAACAAAAACAAAAACCTGATGGACAAATCAAGCAGTCTGTTGTTCTTTCTGCTGAATGGATTGTGCTTTCTGAGTGCTGGAATACCAAATTTTAATATAGAAGCAGATAGAGAAGGGCTGTATAATATATATGTAATATTTATATATAATGTAATGTAATGCATATAATGTAATATTTATTCCAGAAAATTTCAGGTTGTGGGCAAGACCCATGTTTATTGCAACTGAACTTTTCTGTATATTCTCAAAAAGTCATCCATGAGTCCCAGATTTTGCTCCTGCTCTTTCCAATTTTATAATTGGTTAAAATAAACCAACCTGGGGAGGTGGTATAAAAAGTCTCTGATTGTACTGGGGGCTGACAGAGAATATTCTGGGATAAACAAACACAAAATATACGGATCTCCAAAATAACATAGGAAAGAACAGGGGGAAAAACTCGGACTTTTTGTTCTTTTTAATCAGTCTGGAGTTGCCCCATATCAAGGTTAAATCAACATCTAGGGGTGCATCTACACTGTTAATGCAGTTTGACACCACTTTTGGTGCTGTAGCTAAGGTCTTTAGCCCTCTCTGCCAAAGAGTGCTGATACCTCACAAAATTACAAATCCCAAGATTCTGTAGGATGGGAACATGGCAGATAAAGTGTGGTCAAGCTGCACTATTTCTACTGTATCAATGCACCCTAGGTTAACATAACAGAGAGGTGGGAAAAGTGTGGTCCATGGGTCTTGTGCAGACCCTGAGCATTGTCTGCTCTTTCCAGGCCCTTACTCAGGTTTTAGGAGTACCCTTAACTTGATGGTGTCCTTCTTGGAGCCTCCTCTCAGGCTATGAAATTGCCTTCTAAAGAAGCATCAGTTGGTTCCCTCTGTGTTGTTTTTCTCCCAGTAGACGAAAAACACTTTGTTCAGTAGGGCATTGGCAATTGCTTGGCAATTGGGGAAAGGGCTTTTTAACAGATAGATTCTGCACATTTTTATTTTTATGCTTTAAAAGTTGTCTTTAATCCAGGAGCCCTGGTGGCACAGCGGTTAAATGTCAGTACTGCAGCCACAATGTTGCGATTTCGAACTCAGGGCTCCAAGGTTGACTCAGCCTTCCATCCTTTCGTAGGTCAGTAAAATGAGTACCCAGCTAGTTGGGAGCAATTGGCTAACAGATTATAAACTGCTTAGAGAGTTCTGAGTCCACTACTAAGTGGTATAGAAATGTAAATGCTATTGCTATCCTAGTTGTGCTTTAATGCTGTATTAAATTTCATTGCATTTTAATATTATAGCTTATTGTGTTTTTGTTATACTTGGTTTTTCATCATGTGAGCAGTCTTGGGAAAGCCAATGTGGAGTAGTAGTAGTTTGAGGGTAGGACTAGGAGTCCAGAAGATCAGAGTTTGAATCCCTATCCATCTGTGGAAACCCAGTGGATGACCTTGGGCAAGTCACACTCTCTCAGCCTCAGAAGAAAACAATGACAAATGCAAATAAATCTGGGCATGGTTATGATAGGTTGCCATAAACCTTGTGATAGGTTGCCATAGACTGAAGTCTGCTTGAAGGCACATAACAGCAACAAAGCCACTTTGATTCCCAGTTTGGGAGAAAGGAAGGTTATAAATAAATATATACCCCTTTTAAAAGCCCTCATGTTATCCCAAGAGCAAGCCAATAGTATTTCCATGGGTAAATCCATTTACCCAGTCTGTTTATTTACCCATTCTTCCACAAAGACATATGACCATTAAGACCTCATAAGGAGACAATTATTTGTTATTTGATGGTGTCTCTGTGTGGCATATTGGTTTGACCATTGGACTAGAATGCTGGAGACCTGGGTTTGAATCCCAGCTCAGTCACATAAACTGACTGAATGACCTTGGGGAGTCACACTCTCTCAGCCTCAGAGGATGGCAATGACAAACCCACTCTGAAGAAACATACCAAGAAAACTGCATGATAGGATCACCTTAAGTCGGAAACGACTTGAAAGCACACAACAACACTCACCATTTATCTGAGAGCATCACATAGCACAGAACACAGTGGAGAAGTAACATATACAATTCATTCTGCATGCTTTCCATTCACATTATGTTACCACTTTCATCTCCAGTTTTGAAGAAAAAGATGCCCGTTAAGTAGAAGTGCCATGATTTTGTACCTTTGCCTAGCACAGATGGCTGTTCCTTTTGTTCACATATATTCAGTAATATTTAAAGTTTCTCTAATTTATCATCTATGTTATCTATTATTTATTATATTTATAACCCACCTGCTCTCCAGGGAGGTGTCTCCCCATGATGTAACCGTGATCTAGTGAGTTTTATAGCTGAGCAGAATTTTAACTTGGGTCTCCCTAATTCAAGTTCAACATTACCCCACATGAGGAATTGAATTACGCAAAAAATATGGCCTTACAGTGCTTTGGCAATCTTGGGCAAATAAACAAGAGGAGCACAATAGCTTTGCTTTGCTTTAGCAGATGTGTGTGTGAGAGAGAGAAAGAGAGGTTGGGATAGTTGGCAGAGACCCAAAGCACCATGGTGTGCCTTAAAATAAATACCTCTTTATTTTCCTTTTTATGTCTCACTATAACCATAGGAATGTAAGCCAGGGAAGTTATTACCAACTTTTCCCCTGACCCTCTTTTCTTTTCCTTTTTACAGACTAATTGGTGTCTTCTACATGCATATCCAGTACAGAGATCATTGCCCTATGTGTAACAACGCTCTATAGAGGTAGCAAACATTCAGAAATCTGGGTGATAACTGAAGAAGAATCACTTGTTATCCAAAACAAAGAAACCCTTTTTCCTTCCCTAAACTGTGCCCATTTTGTTTTGTACATTTTTTCCCGGGACAAAACATTCAGTGATAAGGTAATTGTCTTTAAAGAGGCTGCACTGGAAAGGTTGGCTTTAATGCACACGGCGACTAATAAAACATACACACACAGTGCTAACATTGCTTAGCTTTAATGTGGGGGAGATATTATTTCCTCTGACAGAGCATACTGGAGCCCCAGGCCATAAACACTAATGAACTGACCGAATATCCAGAAGTAGGTCATCACTCTTAATATCCAGGGATGCTTTTATGAGAGTGATTTTGTTCTCTCTCCCTGCAGGCACACACCCTTTTTGCTCTCGCTCTGTACCACGTGTGCACACACTCACACTCACACAGACACCCACACGGAGGCTTGTGCGTGTGTTGTACATCGGGCTTCACTCCAATGACTTTCAAAGAGTTGCTTTCTAACCCTTTTCACCCGGATGCGTCTAAGATTAGACTCTGCTGTACGTTTTGGGTTAGAGTTGTGCCATGAAAGCTCAGAAGTGAACTGCAGGAGACCAATGGCCCCTTTGCTGCACCTTCGCCATCAAAGCGGCTTGTCCCCTGCCATGCGGGATCAAGTCCTTCTTTGAGAGACTGACAAGAGAAGCTTCCAGTGTTGCCTATGAAACCTATCCAGGGAATTGGGCACAGCAGGGGCATTGCGTGTGCTTGCGTTTGATGTGCACAGGGAAAGGCTAAGAAGAACCTCCCCCAGGCCAATGCTGCTAGAGAGAACTGGATAAATTAAGAGCAGTGCTCCAGAGTCTTTTCAACCCCGATGCCCTAGATAACAGCCAAAATGTGATCTTGGTGAGTTTGATTTCTGCTCACAGCCCTGCTCACAGCCAGTTAGGAACGGATGACAAGAAAGAGGGGGATCTTGGCAGCCCCTTTTGTCAGATCAAGATGGCAAAATGAAGAGAAAGACCAAACTGGAAAGGTTCTCTGAATGAGTCTGCTTTTTTAAAATGTATTTTTCTTTAATTGGCTTTGGGAAAAAGTGGGCTCATTTTCAGAACTTGCTGACTGTCTTGAAAAAGTTGATCTTGGAAATGTTAAGCTTTTGAACTACCCCCAAAAGTAACATTTCCAAGTACTGATATAAAGGGCTGTTGATTTCACACTATGATAGACCAGGTTCCAAAATGCTGTAAAACATGGATATGATAAACCCACCAAACTAAAGGCACTGTCATTGCTTTTAAAAACAATATCACTTATCCCCGTCATTGATTTTAAAAGCAATATCAGTTATCTTTACTTTGTCAAATTAAGTGCCATCTTTGAACAGCATTTTGTTGTTGCTGTTGCTGTGTGCCTTCAAGTTGTTTTCAACTTATGGCAACCCTAAGGCAACCCTATAATGGGGTTTTCTTGACAAATTTCTTCAGATGGGGTTTGCTATTGCCATCCTCTGAGGCTGAGAGAGTGTGACTTGCCCAAAGTCTCCCAGTGGGTTTTATGTCTCAGTGAGGCCTGGTCTCCAGAGTCACAGTCCAGCACTCAAATCATTATGCTACAATGGCTATTCAACAGCATTAGGAAGATTTGTGACAGAATTAATGTATTGCAAATTTGATATTGAGCGGTAAGAACCAACAATTAAAAGTCACAACCCTCATGTTTCTCTTGAAATAAGAATAAAAACAGTATAAAAACAATTTCATGAACAGCTAGATTTTAAAAATTAACCTTTTATTCCCAAATGATTGATTTTAGTAATCTCTAGTTTAAAACATTACCTCTTTTTCTTTATGATGTCTTTCCTTTCCAGCCTCTTTTCACAGTGGTTTCTAACTAGGATTGCAATTTCACAACTGGGAATTGTTTTTAATATATGCAGCATAGCCTAACATCGCCAAAGAAAGATGCAGATATTATTGTTAGCTGAACGATGCAGATGTTATTTCTCTTAGCAGTTTCCCATGTCCACCCAGTCTGAGGACGTTATCACACTGGCGGCAA